CCCCAAAACCCCAAAACCCCAAAACCCCAAAACCCCAAAACCCCGTTAAAATTATAAATACTTGAAATTTTAATTTGCTTTAAGTAGGGAAATGAACGTTGTACAGGAGGGAGTGTGCAAACCTCAAATAGAAGACAATAAAACAGTAGAAAAATCTAAAAGAAATGGTGCGAAACAAAGTAATATTATCAAACACATTCCAATCACAAGGAGTCGTAAATAGAAAAATTAGCATGAATCAACCAACTGAAGAAAGAAGTCATGAGAAGGCAATCAAAAACGTATATAAGAGAGCCAAGGTGGACGAATCTGAAGAGACCGTTAATAAGAATTCTCAGTTAGCACATAAGGATGATGAATTCTGTGAGAAGGAAAATGATGCTTTCAAAAGTGCCACCAAGCCTAGAGTTCTCAATGAAAGGGTCATACTCAAAGATAATAATATATTGCCAAATAATAAAGTTCCTGAGATTCAAAATGATGCAGAGGCCACTGAAAGGTTTGAATCAATGTCTAATAAGTGCTCCAAACGTTCTGGACCAATATCACCAATAGACTCTATTTCCTTTTGTAAACCCTCTAACATAAAGCAATGCTCTGATGAGAATGTCCTCAAAAAGCAAATGTACAATGACCAGTCTATACTATTAAGTAACGAAGTCTCTTCCGAAGTTCAGTTATTTTCAGAACATTCCAACAACGATCTTACATCTCATATAAACGAAGCCCAGAGTTGTATGAAATCCATGAAGGAGACTCCCTGCCCTTCTGAATCTGTGGTGAGTTCGACCCTTCAAAAAGGCTGTAGAAGGAAGCAGAAGAAGAGAATAGACCCTGCCCTTGAGAAATTGAAGCAGAACTATGGCTACTACCAGCACTTCTGAATGATGAAGACAGTCCACAGTCTCACTCTCAAGGAACTTGACAGAGTCAATCAAGAAAACGAAGTCTATGAAAAATAAACTAGCCATTATGAACGATAACAAGGAAAAGCATGAAGATGAGCTTGGTTTTTACCTCGGAATTGAAGATAATAGGAAGAAAAGATTCAGAAGACTGGCTACTGATATCGAGAGAAGACACCACTGCTTAGTCCCTAAGTGACCAAAAGCCTACGGCTCAGAAGGGAGTCTCAACCAACACCTCCTCAGGAAGCATGAATGTGTTTATCAAGAATGGATGAAGAGAATCTCAGAAAAGGAGAAAGAAAACTCTAATAAGAAGGGCCAGATCTCTAGAGAAGAGAAAAATAAAATCAGACAAGCTATTGAGAAGATTGCTCTTGATCTTTGTAGCCCAGACTGCAATTGCCAATATGCTGAGGACTCAGACTAATTTTTCATTAATCAAAGAAAATTCAGGAATAATTATTAATTCAGCTACTGTACTCTAAAATGGGGTTTTGGGGTTTTGGGGTTTTGGGGTTTTGGGGTTTTGGGG